AAATCCCCCCCAAAACCAACCAATGAATGAAAAAAAATGCCATTAACAGCTCCAGTAATTTAAGATCTGCTTTTAAGATAGGCTAAAACAAAAAATTATCATAAACTTAAAGTGATCTCAGCTTCTTTGGACTATCTTCATTAACAAATTTCCTAAAATTCTAAACCACTTCTCCCTGAACATACATTTGAAATAAATCCCCCCCAAAACCAACCAATGAATGAAAAAACATGCCAGTAACAGCTCCAGTAATTTAAGATCTGCTTTTAAGATAGGCTAAAACAAAAAATTATCATAAACTTAAAATGATCTCAGCTTCTTTGGACTATCTTCATTAACAAATTTCCTAAAATTCTAAACCACTTCTCCCTGAACATACATTTGAAATGTGCCCAGATCTACAGTTTTAAAACAGGCAGGGCTCATACTATTTTAAAAGGTTGAACTTAACCATAGTCTCCTTTGTCTTTCAGAAGTGGACATAACTGATGTATTAGATGAATGTTTCTTTGTAATAACGCTTTGAAAAAATATCAGGGTTCCAGGAAATGCACCAACATGCCTTCCCACGTAGCCAGACTCTGAGCAAGTGTGTGCTGCTCCCCGTCATGGAATGACACAAAGTCAGAAGACGGGTTCAACTCGGCATGATTTGATTGGCAGCGACTGAATTTCACAAGTGTCCTCCAGGAGTGACTGTCCTGACCACACTTTGGAGACATTTCCTGCTCGATTTGCCACCTGGACGCCACAAGGTGGGCGACTTACCTCCTTTTTGGGCTCCACACTTTGATTACGTCGTCCTTTCTTTGCTCTTGGTTCTTGAGTGACCTTCAGCTGTGGGCATTATAAAAGTGATATCGTATTATTCCAGACACCAGGTAACAGTTCTCTGCTGAAAATGCTCGCAGTGGACCCAGAGATGAGAAGAGCAAGCGACTCCCCTTTGCACTGACTCGGCCATTATTCTGGTAACTGAAGGCTTGACAGGGCTGTGCACCTTCCGAGGTGAGCAGTGTACTCACTCTTTTCCCCCTGGAGGGTCAGGCTCAAGGTCACTGGTGCTTGTATCTATCTATCTATTTGAATCGGTTTTGGTTAATTCGTGCAGAGCACTTTACAAATGTAAAAAAAAGTAAGGAAGAGTGTCAAAATCTGTTCATTACAGTGAGGAGCATACACTAAGATTTTCACATTTAAAAGTAAGGAAGTGCCTGTTAATTATTATTGAGACACGACTCACCTGCTCATTACTCGTAGAGGAGATGCTGGATTCCGCCTCTTCCTCGCCTCGGTCCTCATTCTTAGACTTCCAGAACCTTCCCTCACGCAGGAAGCGCTGATGCAGTTCCAGCTCGTCGCAGGCCTTTTTCCAGCCCATGCTGCGTTTGACGTGCAGCCGGTGAATGTTGACTGTGATATCTTGAATGTTTTCAGAAGGAATCCAGGCCCTGGGAAATTGGGGAAAAAAAAAGCAAACACACACCCCACGATGTAAGGTAAGTATAATAAAAAGAGGTACAGTCCAATTTGCCTCTATCTATATGAGCATTCAATTCTGAACGGTCTCAATATATGCAGGATAAAATGGCCCAGGGACCCCATGGTAAATGAACGTAAAACATCCTCCTCCCTTCTTGCCTATACCCGATTTCCTGGCCTGGGCCACCTCATCCTCCAATTCCCTGCAGCAAAAAGATTTGGCCTCCTTAAGACGGTCAGACTTTATCATCTACGTTTTTCTCTCTGGCAGGCAAAATCTTGCAAATCCTACAAAAACCTCACTAAAGCAGCTCTCGTGTGTAAACACACTCACAGTCAAATTTTTTCCTGGAGATTTCCAGCCTGCTCAGAGTGTAGGAAGGAGCAGCATATCTATCTGAGTGTCTGGAAGGGATTGGTACAAAACCATTTGTTTGAATTTTTTCTCCCACTTAGACATGATGATACAATGGACCATCCAAACTGCATTAAGCAAAACTTAGAACTAGTGGCTTCTTTTCAGCCATAACCTTTTGGAG